GCAAGTTACGTCTTGTGGATACTGGGTAGCAAGTTACGTCTTGTGGATACTGGGTAGCAAGTTACGTCTTGTGGATACCGGGTAGCAAGTTACGTCTTGTGGATACTGGGTAGCAAGTTACGTCTTGTGGATGCTGGGTAGCAAGTTACGTCTTGTGGATACTGGGTAGCAAGTTACGTCAGAGCAAATACCTTGATCTCGTTGGTTGTGAGAAAAAACATGGATTTTTGTCGTCTTATGTAAATCTTGTTGTGTATATAAAGTGTATATGTTGTTAATACTGGTACTTATAGGCTATTAGTTTACGAGAAGTCTTCGTTAGTTAATGAAGAGTTTTGTGCTAAGTTTTACACGTGGAGCATTTTATTTGTAAGGTAATGGAACATCCTGAGTGATTGTATACATTACCAGAATAACTTCCTTTGTAAGTAAAGTGCCTTATGAAATACGTTAATTCCGTATTAATTCCTTTAGAATATAGATATATATTTTGGTAAAATCCGAAATGTCTCTCTTCTCTTTTCTGTTTGGAAATAAATATGTACCTTACTGAGTTGAGATGTTGTTTCAAATTCAGAAGAAGAAAAGATCTTGCTGTTTGTTCTTATATTATATTATGTATTATATTTGATGTTGACACTCCGTGATCTGTCGCAAATCAGACGTGAGTCGTAGAGTCCAAAAAATTGTTATGTATTCAAAGTATTTTTTTTTCTAAGCGACTTACTTATTGAATCCAAATTGTTATGCAACCAAAAAGGATATTTTGCAAGCTGCTTTAGTGAATAAGATGGAGGATGCGTGAGGGAGGAGATACAGATCTTCCACAGCACAATGATTCCTCACTCACACACCCAATGAAGATTTCTGGTAGACAGAACACACTGTAGCATAGCACTGGTATGTGGCCTGGTCTCTCGGGTGTTTTCTAGTCGTATTTCTTGTCACAGAAGATGCTGATGACGGTTTTATGCTTTCTACGTAACATTCTTGTTCCGTTTGCTTGTACATCTTTGTGATAATTGTCTTAAATAAGTTGTAAATTATTCATTACCTCATATATTGCTGCTGTTTTTTTCAAACCGTTTCATTAGCATTCCTTCAAAAAACAAGCAATGTTTTTTTTTTTTGTACCTCGTGTGCTCACGGGGATAATGTTAGTACTATACTACTAATGTACAACTTAATGTACTAAGGTCAGTGCTCAGATGCAGCCTCTTTGCTAAAGTTGAACCCTTCCAGCAGCACCTCAGGGTTACAGTACATGCACACTGCTTAGTACAGTGCTATGATATGGTTCTTGTACCACGCAGAGTGTTACAGTGCTGAGACTAATATGTTTAGTTCACAGTTTCAAGAGGAAATTTCTGAGGGATTCAATTTCGGTCGCTCCTGGGCCGCCATCGAGACACTTCGTGGTCGTGGTGCTGGTACATCCAAACAGGCTAAATAGTTTCTTTAAATTGTGGGCTAATAGAGAATTGTTCCAGCCATGGTACTGTGACATTGTTCATGTACAGTGGTATATATGATACATGTACTGCTGAGAGTTATGAATATACTGCACTAACGCCACATTGATGTCTTTCGTGCTGCATGAGTACGCATACACTTGTGCTACATGAGTACACATACACTGTGTCGTGCTACGTGAGTACACATACACTGTTATGCTACATGAGTACACATACACTATGTTGTGCTACATGAGTACACATTGTGTCGTGCTATATGAGTACACATACACTGTGTCATGCTACATGAGTACACATTGTGTCGTGCTACGTGAGTACACATTGTGTCGTGCTACGCGAGTACACATTGTGTCGTGCTACATGAGTACACATTGTGTCGTGTTACATGAGTACACATTGTGTCGTGCTACGTGAGTACACATTGTGTCGTGCTACATGAGTACACATTGTGTCGTGTTACATGAGTACACATTGTGTCGTGCTACATGAGTACACATTGTGTCGTGCTATATGAGTACACATCACTGTGTCGTGTTACATGAGTACACATTGTGTCGTGTTACATGAGTACACATTGTGTCGTGCTACATAAGTACACATTGTGTCGTGCTATGCGAGTACACATTGTGTCGTGCTACATGAGTACACATTGTGTCGTGTTACATGAGTACACATTGTGTCGTGTTACATGAGTACACATTGTGTCGTGCTACATAAGTACACATTGTGTCGTGCTATGCGAGTACACATTGTGTCGTGCTACATGAGTACACATTGTGTCGTGTTACATGAGTACACATTGTGTCGTGTTACATGAGTACACATTGTGTCGTGTTACATGAGTACACATTGTGTCGTGCTACATGAGTACACATTGTGTCGTGTTACATGAGTACACATTGTGTCGTGCTACATGAGTACACATTGTGTCGTGCTACATGAGTACACATTGTGTCGTGTTACATGAGTACACATTGTGTCGTGTTACATGAGTACACATTGTGTCGTGCTACATGAGTACACATTGTGTCGTGTTACATGAGTACACATTGTGTCGTGCTACATGAGTACACATTGTGTCGTGTTACATGAGTACACATTGTGTCGTGCTACATGAGTACACATTGTGTCGTGTTACATGAGTACACATTGTGTCGTGTTACATGAGTACACATTGTGTCGTGCTACATGAGTACACATTGTGTCGTGCTACATGAGTACACATTGTGTCGTGTTACATGAGTACACATTGTGTCGTGTTACATGAGTACACATTGTGTCGTGCTACATGAGTACACTTGTGTCGTGTTACATGAGTACACATTGTGTCGTGTTACATGAGTACACATTGTGTCGTGCTACATGAGTACACATTGTGTCGTGCTACATGAGTACACATTGTGTCGTGCTACATGAGTACACATTGTGTCGTGCTATGCGAGTACACATTGTGTCGTGCTACATGAGTACACATTGTGTCGTGCTACATGAGTACACATTGTGTCGTGCTACATGAGTACACATTGTGTCGTGCTACGCGAGTACACATTGTGTCGTGCTACATGACTACACATTGTGTCGTGCTACATGAGTACACATTGTG